AAAAAAAAAGGTGATGGTACATATTTCTCTAACACTTAATTTGGTTCTGGCGTGATTCTGATGCTGAACATCTGAAATATATTTTCTTAGTGTAACGTCAAAAGATACATTTTACAAGATATCAATAAATTTAAAAAAAGAAGAAAGACCCATGGTGAATTTTTTTTTTGCACAAAAACAATACATTTATTCAAGTGTTCTCCAGCACAAGTACATACGAAGCCTTTATCTTCTCTTTGAACACTAAACAAAGGTATGGGGCAGAGAATGACTGCTACATCTGCTGTATGAACTGGTCTTGAGGAAAACCATACAGGCCATAAAACAGTTATGACAGAAAGAAAGTCACACAGAGCGTTAACAGTATCACTGAAGTATTGACCTGCTTTGACCAGTAAAATGAAATGCTGTTTCTGATTTTTTTTCTTCTTTTTTTTAAAAACAAAGAAACAAGTAAGCGTCAGTTCAAAACAACATTTGGAAAACAGACATGGAGAATATTGTGGCATGGAATGTAGGATTAAGAAGCAATGCGCATTAAGCATACATTATGCTACAGTAAAAGTTATTACCATTTTTTTTCTCACACAATTTTCCCACAGATAAGCACCGACTACAGCAATCTCTAGTCTAAAACAATATAGCAAACCTTTCATTATTTGTTATCCTTATTTTTTCAAGTACAAAGTTAAAATGCCTTTGTTAATATATTTATATGAGTGAAATAATAGTTATTTTTCATTACTACAAGGAACTTAAAACAGTCATTGTCAAGACATGTTTATTTGTCTTCCAATCAAATACATTTTTCTTGATTAGGTAAAATGTTTAGCACCATCGGAAACGCCTACAATCCCTCTTTTTAAAGTCTTACAAAAAGAAACAGAAGTTTAAAAAAAAAACACCACCGTGTAGGGCTGTGCAGTGAAGTTTAGACCGTCAATCTTAAAGCTGTCTTTAGGCCAATGTTACGATCACAAAACATCCGATCTGGATTCACTTGAAACAAACAAATAAAAAAACAAAAAAACAAAAAAAGCGGAGTTGGAATCTCTCTACATCTAATGCTTGAAGCTTTGAATGAAATTTGTCAATGATTTTTATTTTCGACCTAAGATTTTCTTTCTATTTGATGATATATATTAGCAAAGAATTATATTTGTACATCTCATTTGTAATTAAAAAAAGAAAAGAAAAAAAATTGAAAACAGCAACCAGAAAACTCTATGTACAGAATGTACAACCATGAATATGACGTTAGGTATTAAAGGTGGAGAGGGGGATAACATCTGATAAAATACAAAGCACGAGAGCTCATATTGAGCCACCATGCATTGACAAAAAGGATGGCAATAAGGTCACTTAAGAAATTAATTACATTAAGAAATTAAATTTCAAATCTTAAATATGATTTAGAGAAGCGATAGCGTCTGCTCTTACTCTTTACTCTTTGAGTGCTGACATCCGTGTCAAACACTGTGTCAGGCTTTTGTTTTGACAAACTGCAGCCTAAATCCTCTGTGTTTAGCTTAAGGATTACAATCAAGAGAATTTAGTTTGCGCGTGTAATCCATAATTTGGATCGGCGCTTACAAATTGCCAACGTGACGACTACAATTTATCGAGCAAATGGCAGCGGCCCTACTGTCCTTCACAGGGGACAAAATATTTTACAAAGCAGGAAACACAGCTTTTTGACGCTGCCTTACATTTTTACAATCTTAATAGCAACAGACATTCCTTGAATTTACGTGGCAACATACTGTATCGCTGCTTCGAAACAGAGAACAATATGGATGATGGAAGGTGAGAAAAGGAGTTGGAGGTTACAAATGACAATCCATCTACTGTACACCGAGTCAAATAACATGGTTTCACATATAAAAAAAAATCCATTCTTTCACTTCTATTGGCACAGCCCTACTGTATACAAAAAATATTACACGAGGATTGATCAGTTCACATCATTAAACTAAACGAAAAATAAACCAATTCACAAGAAAAAAAAAAGTTTTTAAAAGAAAAAGAAAGTGTACGTATAAAAGTGCTTGATAATGTTGATAAAACAGCACAAAATTGCTATAAAAAGGTAGAAGAACTCTGTGAAGCGGCACCATATTGTTGAGTATTTGCACCTGACAGTTATTCAGTTTAGAGAGGTGGAAGCCGAGGAGGAGAGTTACCCGGCCTGGTCGCTCTCCCTCCTTTACAGCGACCACGCTTACTAACAGTTGTACAGTAACGTCATTGTTCATGATGAAACTAGAAAAAAGTAGCTCATCACAGACTTTGATCTTAAGTTTTTTCTTTTGAATGACAGAAAACATCATCTCCCATGTGGCTAGCTTCACTTTCTGTTTGTGCAGATTCAGACAGTGAGCCTGAGTGTAGCAAGGCTGAGATTAGAAGAGCACCAGTACAAACTTGTGTAATAGCTGTAAAAACGCAGAAAAGAGTATAAGCTCTATTTTGCAGTCAAACGTCGGTCAACCGAACGGCATACAACATTATTTTATTTTTTTTTTCGTTAAATGTAAAAACGTCAAACAAAAGTTCATCCAGCAACAGGTTAAAACGCTCCGTATTGTCTAAAAATGCATTGCCACATGGGCTATGATGTTTCATATCATCTTGGAGCACCATGGTATTGTAACCATATTACAGTAGTACCTTTATTACCTTCAGTTGTGTATAGAAACTGTAAACAAAGAGGTATATGTGATCTGGTGTTTTGGATTCTCAGAGACACAGCTCTCTTGACACTGAAGGAAACATCCCTGTGAGGCTCAGTAGCTGGAAGCATGGCTGCACTGCAGGTGGGAGTCTCGCAGTACGCTCACACAGCAGAAGCATTTCACATATCTTGAAAAAAAATATCCTACTTCCTGTCTTTCTGATGTTTCCCAATGTATTCCTATCCCTCTCTCTTACAAGACGTATTTAGCACTCTTCTGTCTTCGTGTCTTGAGAAGAAAGCATAGTCTCAAGTATAGCTTGCACAAACAAATAAACAATACTTGATAACACTGCAGCGGCCCTACTGTAAAATGATATATAAAATTAAATAGAATAAGAATTGCAATTCAAATACAAGAAATAATGTGAAATCTATGTTTCGCTTACAAATTATACCAGAGTATAATTTGAGGATCAAGGCTCTTGTTTCTAGTCACAACATACAGTTGTGGTTCCTAAATTATGAGGTGCCGTAAGGGACATTATTACTGAAATGCTCTCACACACACGACTAAAATTTTATCTCTCACACACACTACTGAAACGCTCTAACAAACGCTACTGAAATGTACTCGCACACGCTACTGAAATGCAGTCACACACACTACTTAAAACCAAGGCGTTTCAGCTGGATAGGGCAGTGTTGCCAAATCCTTAGTAAGGAAAGTCGCTATTAGCTGTCCTAAAAGTCGCTAGAAGTTGCTAAATATGGTCATCGCCTAATTTGCATAATTGGTCATGCTTATGTAATTGTAACCTATGTTGTAGGAGAGAGAAATAACATCGTGGAAGAGACATAAAGTGGGTAAAAAAACCACCCTAAATGGATTAGGAATATATTTAGAACTACAAATTAAATTCTTTGAGTAATTATTGTTTTTTTTAATGTCACAATTCTAACCCTCCTCCTTTATCCGGGCTTGGTACCGGCAAAAGTGACCCAAAAAAGGCACTCTGGCGGAGTTACACACACACACACTGTGTGTGTTTAAGTAGTTTTAAACCTTGTGATTTACAAAAAGTAAAAGAAGAACTGACTGCGTTAAAGTCAGGGTGGGAGCAGCGGCTTTGCTCATGCGTGATTCATTTGCAGTTTGGATGGGTAGGGATCAGCATCTCCTGCTCTGACAGCAGCTGGGGGCGACTGCTGCCTGTGAGCGCTTTGGCATGGGCGAAGTGCCCACGGCAGCACCCGCTGCTTGTTGGGAGTAAGACAGATATGTGCTTTCACATCAAAAAGTGGTCATAGGTCTTCCTAATAACAAAAGCAAAAGTCGCCAGATTTGTCGCTAGTCGTTTTTTAGAGAAAAAAAGTCGCTAAGGGGGTCTGAAAACTCACTAAATATAGCGACAAAGTTGCTAAGTTGGCAACACTAAAACACCTTCCTGTTCAGCTGAAATGCCTTGGTGTTCAGTAGTGTGTCTGAGAGCGTTTCAGTAATAATGCCCCTTACGGCACTTCATACTAAATGGTTCTGAGCTAATTTTCTGACTGCTCAGTCACAGGCAAAGTACTCTTTGAGTGGTGCAAACAGGTGGCGGATAACTGGGACGCTCCATGATCTGCCCAGCAGCCTCTGCCTCGCCAGTCGGCTCATGTTGGATACGTCTGTATAGTGGACTGGAAAACCAAAGACCCTGATGTGAGCAACCATCCACACCACACGTGCAACCAGCGAGCAGACAGGGGAAGACAAAGGAAGAAAACCTTGAAATTCTGACCTCTGAAAAAAGCCTACACAGTAGTTGAAATCATTATGTTTACATACCTCTCCATCTCAGTGCACCACAGTATGTCTTCCTTCTCATTCATGTAGACTGGGAAGTGCTGGTCCTTGCCCTGCTTGATGGAATTAGACCTGGTAGTGATAGTCCTCACCTTGCCAAACTGGAGGACAATTTAAAAAAAAAATTAGTTTATGCCATTTTTATGTCCTTGCTGAGTAACAAACTTACAAAACCTGAGATACCTTTTCTAAAATGTTGAGGTTATCGTGATCAGATAATTTGGTAAATATGAGGTTCCCGTATGAAGACCTGTCCCAGGATCTTGGTCCCAGAGTTTTGAGTCTTCAGCTTTGTATTTTTGATCTTTATTTCATGATTCTGTATTGGTTTTAGTCCTCTGTTATGAGTTTTTCGTGTTCTGGTTTCTTGGTTTTAGGCTGGTTTAAGAATCCCTGGTTATTCCCGCCTCTCGTTTCCTTTTCTGGCCCAGTATTGTATCCATGTTTGTTTACCGCCCTCATGGTTGTGTCTTCTTTCGTTAAAGTTTTGTTTCCTAGTTTTTTGGACATGGAGTACTTTGTTCTTTGTTGAAGTTTAAGTGCTGCAATAAAGTTGTCTTTTAGTTTAAACTTCATGTCATGTCAAAGCTGATTTTTTTGTTAGATAAATTCAATTTGAAACTATTACATCTAGCTGCCACATGGAGCCACCAGTGTGCAGAGTTTTACACTCCTGAATCAAATGAACTGTATTACGAAATCCGAACATGTCACAGTGGAAATTTGCATTTATCTTTTATATTGGTCTTATTCTGATTCTAGTGTGTATTTGTGAGTGTAGTTTTTATTTGCATGATTTTATTCTGGTTGTATTGCATGTTTTTTCTGTATACTTTATACTTTATTAATCTTCTGTAAGAAAATTACTCTCTGCATTTAACCCATTCACTCAGTGAAGCAGTGGGCAGCCAATCCAGCGCCCGGGGAGCAGTGTGTAGGGACGGTACCTTGCTCAGGGGTAACTCGGGGTAGCCGTTCGGTGGATTTGAACCCCGACCTTCCAATCATGTTTTAATCCACTGTGGACTGGCTGGGCATGGGACAAATTAGCTGATAGCGGTCACCTCCTGAGGCATGGGTGTGTCCAAAGGCGGCCTATCAGCTGTTTAAAGGACCAATTAAAAGGAAGCTAGCTGAGCACTGGAAGGAGAGAGGCCCCAGATATGGAGAGGAATGCATGAAGGCCAACTGATAAAGAGGGACCCGCTGCCTGATCATAGGGGTGCGACACCTCATCTGGAGACAGTCTGGTCAGCGTGACGTGGCGACCCAGTCCCAACAGCAGGAATGGCGACAGTAGGAGACAACGTGTGGGATTGACAGCAGGGCAGAGGTATACCTCTGGCTGCATTTGTGAGTAGTGTCTCCACCGTTGTGCAGCCGTGTTGGGAGACGGTCGCCATGGCTATAAGCCAGGCCAGCTTCCGGGACGATGGTTCTGGCCCCTGTTTGTTTACTTACAGGGCGATGATGCAAGGGGAGCCGTGGTGGCATCGAGCAACGGACTCCAGTGCAGAATTCGAGCTGGGCAGGGATGTGATGGGACGAGAGAGGGATAGAAGGCTTCTCCTCGTCTTCCTGGGACGAGGCTGGTATGGACCCCGCTCTGGAAGAGGGATTTCTGCCCTGCTTGTGAACACCTAACAAACATTCGTCCTTGGCTGTGGGACAGTTACATTGTGTGACGGGGTGGGATTTTAGAGCGCATAGAACATTGCGTTTAATAAGGTTTTTTTGATATTGGGTTTGTTTTTTCCTGGGAATTTTAGTACCTCTACAACATTTTATTGCTTATGGCTTTTAGAATTGTTTGTCATTCTTGCTCCCTGGCCTGGAATAAACCCTTTCTGATCAGACCTGCTTCATCTTTGTGCCCTGGGTTTCTGACTCGCTTGCTCCCCCCTTGTATGTAAAGAACCATCCTCTAGTATGACATTCTGCCACACCAGCTTTAGTGTCTACAAACACACACCATCAACTCTGATATTCTACTGTATTTAAATTGAATGAATCAGATTAACCAGAGAGATTACAGCTGCCAGACTGAGTTTTTGTGTGCACCGGTGAGCGAACATGATGTGTATTGAAAGACAAGCTGCAAGTACCTTGGCTGTTCTGCCATGTTCTAAACAGTCCTGGAGTTCCAGCCTATCAGTGCACATGGCAGTCAAAGGCCTGAAAGAAAGAATGAACAATTTACACTTTAACACGTTATTTAAATCTAACATGCATTTCATTTTTTTCCTGTTCCCTATATACACTTACAATAGTGGATGCTCACATTAAACTTGGACTAAGTTTCAAACAATTACATAACAGGTCAGGGTATGGTGACACGGTTGTCAGCACCGTCACCTCAAAGCAAGAAGGATGTGGGTTTGAGTTCACCAGCTGGGCGCCACGGACCTTTCTAGATGGACACGGGCTGTGGGAGGAACTGGTGATTCTAAATTGTTAATAGGTGTGAATGGTTGTCCGTGTCTCCGTGTTAGGATGGATGGAATGAGTGCAGGTACAAATAACCCTGGTGAGTTCAAATCTTTGTGGACAAAACATAACACTCAAAAACAGTCAATTTGCTCATTACTAGGTGTGCAATAAAGCTCATGCTACATTCCTCTGATTACTCTACCTTTTTCTAAGCCCTCCCCTACAACCTTGCATTTAATGCCACATTGCTACGAACTCTGAGTAACTGTCTTGAGCAAAGTCTACAGAAATGCAGACTTGTGAAACTATGGATAATGTCTAGCAGAGAGCTCTTCATGCATTTCATAATGTCACAGTGGGATAGCCTAAGTCTCTGAGTCTGTAAATGTAGACATTGGGATTGAGCCAAGGGAGGAACTGGGGCCCAGAAAAAGATAACAAATTATTATTTGAACTGTGAATCATGCAAAGCTACACTAATAGAGTCCAAGAATAAAAATATGGAGCTGGAGGTAGTAAAAGGTCCCATTTACAAATGTGAAAGTAGGGCATAATAGACTGAATTGGATCTGCTATACTACAAGTCTCTACTTCATCGGCCTTTATCTGCAATTTTAAACAAGAAAAAAAAATCTCTGCCGGAAGTATGAAATTACTTCTAATCTAGCCACTGAAATCAGTTTCAGTCCATGCCATAATGGCACTTCATTTTGATTCAATGATTTTGGAGATAATCTAATCTAATTTGCTGTTCCATGCTTTGAATGCAGTATTAAGAAAACAGAAGATAATCTGCCAGGACAAGAATAGTTAAAAAAAAAAAAAAAAAAAAAAAAAGAAGCCAAATCAATTGGGTATGTATGACTCACTATCACTACCTTATCTATAGTCATAGTAAAAAAGACAGTATGATCCTTAAAATTCTGTTTTCCCATAAATAAACTAAAAATATAAATAATCTGGTCTTTAGCAGGTCTTAAAATATGATACATAAAACCTCAAAGGGCCTACAAAACATGACGTACCACACTGTGTGACTATCTATTTAACAATCAAAAATCAGAAGCAGTGCGTGAGAAACTAAAGCCACACTTCTTCTTCCACACTGCTTCAAAAGGAATTAAGAGAATAAGTAGCAGCCAGGTGCTGCTAATCAAGTTCACTCGATTCATTGATCATCAGCAAGCAAGCGCCTCTAAAAAACAAAAGGTTTAGGCAGTTTGTTCATCAGGAACATTCACATGTGTGTTAACACAATGCCAAAGAGGAAAAACATCAGCAATTATTTTCAGCAGAGAAGCTGTTTCCAAATAGTCTGAGGTCTCTCATTCTGCAGTGAGAAATATTATTCACGATCAGAAAACATTCACGACGGCTGCCAATCTCAGCAGTGGCCGGCCATGCAATGCTCAGAGAAATGACAAAAAAATAAGAGCTACGTCTCAGCCTCAACAGGCCTTAATTAGATAGTTAAATTCTACAGTTCAAGACACACTGAACAAATGTGGCTTACTTGGAAGGGTTGTCAGGAGACATCCTCTTCTCTCTAAAAATAATATGGCAGCATACTTAGATTTGCAAAGATGCATCTGAGCAAACCACAAGACTTCTGGAACAATGTACTTTGGACAGATGAGACCAAAGTGGACATGTGTGGCTATAATGCACAAAACCAAATACAGCACATCAGCACAAACACCTCATACTAACTGTCAGCATGGTGGTGGAGGGGTGATGGTTTGGGTTTGTTTTGCAGCCACAGGACCATGGCATGTTGAAGTCAGTGAGTCTTTGTATACCAAAGATTTCTAAAGCAAAATGTGAGGCCATCTGTTTGACAACTGAAGCTTGCCAAAATGATGTCATGCAACACGATAATAATCCCAAGTACAGCACCAAATCTAAAACAGAATAACTAAAAAAGGAAATAGCAGAAATGCTATACCACATAAATTTACCATATAAATGCCTGCAAATCTCAATGAACTGGAGGAAGTTCCTCCAGAGCAACATGAGAGACGAATAAAGTCATGCAGAAAACAAAACACTTTAAATTATGGCACCTAAAAGTTATAATGAATCACAGGGTGTGATTAGTTTTTCACACACCACTTTTTCTTTTGGGCTTACTTTTCTAAAAACAAGTAATAACATAGTGTAACATGTTCTGTGTTGTTGTTCATTTTTAGTTTGTTTTTGCATTATTTTAAGACTTGATACGGACTAAAGAATTTAGGTTGTACTTTGTTGTAACATGACCATATAATTTGACATAAGCAGTCCCTTTATAGTGTTACTTTTTTGTTAAATACTACTTCTTTTCTCACCATTCATACACCAACCTGTTCATGCCAGGAAGGTTACCCCAGAAGTAACGGGCACGGTGGGCAGCTGACACTTCCTTGGCATCGATCATCACTGGGTTACACTGAAAACAGAGACGAGGAAGAACAAGCACCAATCAGGACGCAACAAAGGTAAAAAGCTTGTGATTGCATACAGAATAATACAAGTGTAATCACACAACAACAACAATTTTACTATATAGCATGTTAATATAACAGAAAAGAGTCAAAATTAAACTTCAAAATTGTCAGTTTCCTCAGTGGACAGTCATTTAAAAAAAAAAAAGAGAGTATTCTAACAGCTAATGAGGGCTTCACCTAACAGATAACCAGAAACACCATCTAGGAGTAGATTAAAGATGGCATATTAAACTGTTGAATGAAGATCAAGACGTCAGAGCTCCGTTCTCATAATTTTTGCCTAAAGATAATGAATTATTGCCACAAGGGGGCATTCAAAGCCCAACAATACCCACTTCACCAACGGCACATCATACATCTACCGCCTACAGCAGGTAGAGATTATAAGTATCAGTAAAGAAATTAACCTCTAAAAAGCGAGATATGTCCCTCTTGTCACTGACGCCCATAGCAACCACATTTTCAAAGAGCCAGAAGAAAGGCCTGTCTTCCCCCTGCTTCGGCCGAGCCTCATGGAGCAGTCGGTAAAACTCAAAGAACAGGCGTCCGGTGCCCTCTGTGAGACAGAAAGAGGTATTAAACCAGGTGCTGAAGCAAAGCAAAAGACATAAACTCCTTATATTCTAGTGATTTATTTAGGCCAGTGACTTTATATATGAATGAATTTCCCAACTAATACATTAGCAAAGCAAAAAAGCAGTGGACTCATTTAAACTTACCATACAGACCCTTCCTTGCAGGATTGACTATTGAGAGGTCATTGCATGGGCTTCCACCTATAACTAGATCAAAAGGACCCCACTCGTTTATCTGTATAGAGAAAAGAATCAGAGTCAGGATTAGGGTTATGAACTGAACCAGCAATGTACTCCTAGTGAGTAGTAAATACTAATAAAACTAGCTATACAGATGCTAGAGTTTGAATGTTTTATAATGTCTTTATTGTCTTTTACTCTCCACTCTTGGCTTTTAATATGACAAGGTAAAGTGTCAAAGAAAAGCATGGTCTCACTGTCGGTCATTTGTACATCTGGTAAACAACCATACTGTTAAGCCTTAAAAATATCCACATTTTCTGTTTAGAAGAGTCTGCATTGAATTTCTGGTTTTCCACAATAGAAAATGATATCCAATGCTACTTAGTACAAGCGAGTAATGATATATTTGTAAGTTTGTAGCCATTTGCAAGTTTGGTGTCTCTTTTTAGTAACTTATTCTCACTCACATGTTTGCGCGTGATGTTCCGCACGTCTCCAACGTACATGATGCGACCCTCATGCCGGACGATACCCACAGTGATGGAGTCTTCACACACTTCAGAAGCTATGTAGCGACCCACTTGGATGCCAAGTTCTTTGAGCACCAGCAGTCCTGTGCAGGGTGTAGTTAAAGATTTTTTTAAAAAAAAGAAAAGAAGGAGACAGTCTAAAAAAATCTGTCCACTTAAATGATCTGATCTGAAGAACTGGAGCTATCCCTAATAAATAAATCCTATGATGACTAACACAAATATAGCTAATAGCTATATAGCTAGTATAGCTAGTTATATATGGCATGTGTAGTGACTGATACATGGCAATGTTCTGACTAATAAAGGAAGAAAGTAAATCCATCTAATTTTTTATAACACAAACTGGGGAAAATTTTCTAACCTGTGGCTATGCCATCAAATAGTGAAAGGACACGAATGGGCTTCCTCTTCTCCGCCATGACTGGGGCGTAAAGCTTTGGTGGATCCTGAAATTATTGGCAGAGGGGGCAACAGTGAGACACAAAGGAGACAGACTCCTCAGTCACATGGTGATTGAGATTTATGGCCTAAAGGTCAATTACTTACAAAATCTTGATCGTGATTATTTGCAAAGAAGTGCTGGAGACGGCTGGGCCAATCGCTACGACGCTCCAGCAAACCAAACACACCCTTCTGACCGCACATGTAGCAGTTCCATGGGTCTTCTTTGATGGCAGCGTGAGCGGCTCCTTGACCAACAAGAAGGTCCACGCACTCCACACAGAAGCACCTGCGCCAAGGACAAGGACATTTACTTCTAAAATGATAACTAACCCTACCTATTAAAAGCAGTCACAGTGTTAAGTACAGTAAGCGACTAAGTGACTAAATGTGGTAGACTGCATATTTTCCATTAGAAGACCAAAATAAACTATTAACTGTTTAAAATGGTCTTGATCTGAGAATAAAAATGCAGGAAATGTAACGTGCAAGTGAAAAAACTTCTGCATGTTTGATGGGGTTTACCAAGGTTGTCTAAAAGGCCCCAAAGTTCATAGGATAACTCTATTTGAATTCTTATACAGGTGTTTGTAAGTTTATATACACGTTTATATACTGTTCATTTAGCATTTAACCTTCTGTTAGTTTGAGCCAGCCCACCGTCTGGTGATGTCATATAGTTAGTAAGGTGGGCAGTTTTAGTGTGGATGAGCAGTGTTGGTCAGGTGGGGGTGCACTGATTCCTGTGGGATATGATGTGTGCGTGAATGGTAAGTGATTATTAACCTGTGTTGCATTTTGCTTTATTTGTGTTGATACTGTGATATAGTTACCATTTAGGAGCTAATCTAGTTCATAGTTGGAGCGGTATAGGCCACGCACGCAATGCGTGAGTTCACCCTCATTTCACATGCTAATTGATGTCAGTTACTTCATCCTGGTTTGGCTTTAGTTTGCCACATGTACGATCCTCAATATGTTTCTAACGTAATTCCTGTGTTATCAGAGCTTCCCTGTATGGTATATGTGGTGCTCGTGATTCTTTAATTTAAAATACGGAGTTTATAGCGGATAATTTGTTCAGAGTACCGCTTAAATGCCGAGCGTAGTTCGACCGGAAGTACTATGTTCCTACTTCCCCTTCACAATAAAAGCATTACGGCGGATTATAACGGAGAAGCCTTTATTTTCTACAGCTACCGGAAGTAGTTCCTCTGTACTGACGTTAACTTAACCTCGCAGTAATGCTAGTTAGCTGGCATAGTGTAAGCAGTAGAAGTGTACTACATTGCTCTGCTCATTTAAAGGATAGATTTATGTAGAGATACATCTTTTTGTGTTTAGCATTACTGCCTTACACTACTGTGCTCTTTTCTTTATGTATGGTTATGTTAACTATATTGTATTATGCATATATCTGGATATGTCACTTATCTCTTCACCTTATTTATCACTTATTTGTATTATGTACTTCTTTAGTAGAAACACACACACACACACACACACACACACACACACACACACACACGATTACAGCCACAGGAATTGAGCTGTGAAGGAAATAAACTTCCTCAAACCAAACCTTAAGCTTTTTTTTCCATGCTCTGGGAGAATTGGTGAAGTGGTGTTCTGGCTGACACACCAGGGTGACCGTAGTGCTAAGGAGTGAATCAGTGCCATAACCGTGTCTATCCCTGATACCTCCACTACACAGGTTATTTGCATTTTTAGGAAAAATCTTTAAAAAAAAACCCTCAACAAATAAGTCTGTTAAGTCTTTCGTTTGTGCTAGTAGGACTGTAAGGAGAAATGTTTGGTCTAGCAGTAATGGTTTAACTAGAAGAGGAACAGGAAGTTGTGACTGAAAGAGCCCCACACACACAGAAGACAGAGTGGTACAATGCCTCTGTTGAAAATTTGATTGCCAGGGTAATTATTAGCCAACAGCAAAGCCAGATGCATCTGGCATAGGTTACTACCAGATTAGAAAGGAATACAGAGGATGGTCCATAAAAGATGAAATATCCAGTGAGCAGCAGTTCTCTGGGTAAAGATGCCTTGTTGATATCAGAGGTCAAAGGAGAACAGCCAGACTGCTTCGCACTAATAGGAAACCAACTGTTACTCATATAACCACTTGTTACAACCAAGGTATGCTGAAGAGCATCTTTCAACATGCGACACTTGAAACCTTGAAGGTTAATGGGCTGGAGTGGTAGAAGACCACATCGCGTGCCACTTCTGTCAGCTAAGAACAGGAAAGTGACGCTCACCAAAATGGGAAACTAGATGACTGGAGAACTGTTGCCTGGTCTGATGAGTCTCAATTTCTTCTGCTACGTTCAGATGGTAAGGTCAGAATTTGGTCTTAACACTATAGCCAGTTTGATTACTCTTGCTGACCTCATCCACCCCCTTTATGATCACAGTGTACCCATCTTTTCATGTACCTTGATATAAAGCACAAATAATCTCAAAATTGCGTCTTCAGCATCTTCACTGTATTCACATGGCCTCCAAAGTCACCAGCTATCAGTGTGTGTTTTATGACAGACAAATGTTGCCCTGGAGTCACCTGCTGTAATAAGAACAACCACAACCACAAAAATTAGATTACCGTTACTTTCCCGTAGGAACGCTGCGTTACTAAAACCGTGATTTTTTTTGCCAGAATGTCTCATGACAGTGATGTAAGCAAGTGCGACGTTCGTGACAACAGCTGTGTGCAGATCAACAATGGATCATATATCGAATGCAGGAGAGAGTATGAGCATGCAGCGTTTAAAGCTTGGAAGTACTGACCTTACTTTGAGTTTGATTCCATAAAAAGTGACAAAAACATTAGCGTCCATTGTGCGTGGAAAGAAAACTTCTCTTTATAGCGAAAAAAACCCCTAAACTTCCAAGCAAGCACCAAGTACGCTGAGAAACTCGCGGATTCTTCAACTGACCACCGCGGCACACCTGCACCAGGGTAAACCTCCGCCTACGCTACTCCTGCTTTACAGGTGAAAATAGAGCAACAGGACTGCTAGTCTTTGATGTTATTTATTTTCTGCTGTGTTTTACTTGCATCTATTTGAAAGACTGAGTGTAAACACAAAAAAAAAATATTTTATGTGCTGGAATGTGCAGAAAATAAGTTTAAATGTTAAGCAAATTTCTTCCAGTCAGAGAATGTTGCATATAATTACATTTTTGCTTGATGCATAAAGTTAAAAGATTAAAACTGATAAAACAAGTTAAAAACAAGAGACTTTTCCATTTGATTACATTTTGTATGATTGATTATGCAGAAAAAGTAGAATTGGGCTGAAAGATCTATCGCTTTATCACCTATTCAGGTTGTAAATCGTGTTTTTAAAAAGTAACTAAGTAATTAATTACTTTTGGAAAAAGTAATCAGTAAAGTAACGGGATTACTTTTTGGGGGAAGTAATCGGTAATTAGTTACTGATTACTTTTTTCAAGTAACTTGACCAACACTGGTCATAGGTCAAGAAAAGGTGCACAGTTTCATTATCACTCTTTGTTTTGTATTTAAAAGGTGTAGATAAAAAGGTTTTTAATGGGGTTTGTGGGTTTTGAGAAGCAGCAAGTTATCGTTAACACTGTCATCCAAATGTCAAACGCCACCATCCAAAAATAGCATTGTTTGTGATCAGTCCAGCATGCCTCTGACAAAGCTCAATCTGTTCTCAATGGTATTTTTCTAGACTTCAATCTAACTGTGTGAGAACACCAGTCTGTTTCTTTATGTTTAACAATGCTCTATTCAACAGAAATACAGTGCAACCACACTTTATAAAATATTTGCTATCAGCAAGTTCTCCACTGGGCTGCCACGATGTTGCCTTACATCACTGCTACGAGATTAGTGACCCATCACAAAGCCTTTATTGTGCATCCAATATGAGCAGTGAACGCACAATCCTGCTATCTGTGCTGGAAAAACAACTGTAAATTTAGAGGCAAGTACTGTCCTATTCAAAAATAAAAAATATTGCTGTTATTTGCTACACAGCTTCACAATGTTCTTTATTAAGCAATAATTTTATGAGTATTTTTTATGACAAAGAGATTTGAGAACAAGTCAATTGGCTGATTATCCTGTAATAAAGGTGTGAAGAAAGCATATGAGAATTTTGCAAAGATTGCAAGATTTTTCTAAAGACCCTTTCATACTCTACTAACAGTAGATTTAGATTATGGAAGGTCAGTTTATTTTTAGTTTCTTGTTCTTAGCTCACAGGAGTGCCACTTGGTGTGGTCTTCTGCTGCTGCAGGCTTCTAATGCTTCAAGGTTTGACATGTTGCAAATTTAGAGATGCTCTTCTACATACCTCGGTTGTAATGAGCAGTTATTTCAGTTACTGTTGCCTTTCTGTCAACTTTGCACCAAGAAAATCCCTCATAGCTATGGTTTTAAAAATCCAACTGTTGTCTTGACCACTTAGCATATCAAAACTATAAAAAAGGCTGTGCTCAGGTCAGGTAATGTGTAGCTGTATATGTAGACTAAATCTAGTTCTACCAGACTCCATGCACATCCATGTAATTGCAACACAGGCTCTCATGGTAGAAACCTTACCGACAACAATTGTTGTTCCCACACATGAGCACCTCTCGTCCCCCGCAGCAGATAGTGCAGTATGACTGGTAGCCGTCGTCGTCGTATTGATAAGCACATTCTAGGAAGCAGTTCTGCAAAAAATATCCAAAGTATACTGTAAGGCACGGGGTCACATCAGTTGCTGCTTAAAATATGTGTTGTTTATTAGGAGCTTTGAAATTTGCTGTGACTTTTAATAACACCCTAGTTGAGTCAAAGTCTAAGCCTTTATCGCAGCTTACCTTGCAACTCTGACACATTCCTCCAGCAAAAAGAGGGTGCTCAAGGCTAACATTCAGACTTCCACAGGAGATACAGATGTCTGCAGTAAGAGAAACACCGTGTTAGTATTTAACAGGCAGAGCTCTGAGAGGAGTGAGCACCCAGAACTCACACCTCTGTGAAACAATTTGAATATCTATGAGATACAGTTGTGGTCAGAAGTTTCCATACGCTCATCATGGGACATGAAGGGTAATTTGTACTTTTAATGATTTCCTGTTATTTTTCCAGAGTGGGATGATTGTACAGCATACATCTTTGCACAAGTTTGAATTTATTTTGGATTTTCTCTTATCTAAACAGGGTCAGAAGTATAAATCTTTGAATAACTGGTGCTGAAGGTTCTGCAATGTCTTTTAACTTGACAAGGCCTGTTAGCGACTGGTCATTGTGATGACTGGTAGTTTCTCTTTGCCAGCATTACAGAGGATAGGCAACAACACCAAGAAGCATGCTTAGAGTAGTAAAGGTGAGTGTTTCAACCTAGAAACACTTCGCTATCCAGCTGTCAGGTAATTGTCAAGCATGGTGGTAGCATCACCCAATCCTTTAACTTCACCTCAAATCAACAGCTGATTGAAACTTTGATATAATTGGATGTCCCAGCAGGGCAACGATCCCAAATACACATCAAAACTGATTTTAAAATGAATAAAGCAGGCTAAAATTAAACTTCTGGAATGGCCTTCCCAAGGCTTCAACCTGAACCTTATTGAAAATGTGTGTACTATGTACCAGAAAACCAACAAATTTAAATTAATTCTGTCAATACCACCTAGAAGACCAGTCAGATATACAGCCATAATTATTCCAGAAGCTTGCTGATGGCTCAGAAGGGTTGAGCTGCAACTTGCTAAGAGAGACTGAATGAAATGTATGTTTGAGCCCCAAATTATTATTCATGACCATAAGTGTGTGTAAACATTGACCACAACTGTAGGTCTAGATCTAGTTAGTTTAGCTATCAGGTTATGAGAAAACAAACAAAGCTGCTAATAAGGTAGATGAAATTACAGAAAAACCATTTCCTCCTTTTTACTCATTGTTATTTTGTGAACACAGATGCATGCATTTCATTGGCTTTGCCCGTCAACAACAGGTACAAATAAGAGGTGTGTCGGTGTCTCCTGAGAGGCCCTTCGGTGTTGCTACAAGCAAGAGCACACAGAGAACGTTTCACTTACCCTCTAAGCTGCGGCACTTTTGTCTCACTTCATAAACAAGTCGCTCTGACACAGAGAAATGAAGAATCTGTGTTAGTTCCTTCATTTTTTTTAGAAGTAAATTCAAAAAAATATAGGAAAAAATAAATAAAACTAAAATTTAAGATGGTATCACGCAAATAAAACTTCTTCGCCAAACATGTCAGAAACCACTTAAAGTATCAGTCATCATGATAATCCCTGACAGCACAAATGCTTTCATGATATATAAAGAAATAATGTAACAAACAGATCATTTGATGGGTCAGTCAAAATACACATTTGGTTATGTTATTGTTGGAGTTTCCTCTGTTTTCCTTGTATTACTATGGGATCTTTATTTTACATTATAAAGCACCTTAAGGCAACTGTTGTTGTGATTTGACACTACATAAATAAAACTGAATTGAATTACACTTCTTCTTTTGTCATTTGGAAGAGACGGAGGATGAGTAATACTTGTAATAAAGACAGGGCACTGTCTTTCTAGATAGCATCTACTTATTGTCTTTAGAGCAACCTGAATCTTTTTGCCTTCTCACGTCACTTGCTAATAGATCTCTTGTCCATACCTTACCTCCCAGACCACTATAGTGATGTAAAACACCGCCGCAACCTCCCCAAGGAGCTGGACACAGAGTTCATGACTCCAATATAACCCAATAAATGAGGCACCTTACCTCGTGTTCTCTCATCAATGATGTCCTTGACCTTAGGTTTCTCTGCTGTGCTTTTGCGAGGCTTTTTGGCTGGAGGAGGTGTATAGGCTGCTGCTTCTGGCTCTACCCATATTTCAGGATAAACTTCTTTGTATGGGTTACGCTCCTCTGGGGTGCACAACAGAAGCAAAAAATTAATATTGCACCAAATGTTACGGATGTTTTTAATTACCAAGTGTATAGAATACATCTACTATGTCATTATATATAGCAATTTTTAACTCTTCCAGATGGGTCATAAATAGGGTTAAAATAGTGATGTCATCTTACCTTCTGGTGGCTCCAAGCCTTTGGGTCCAGTGGGCTGAAATCCTGTCATAGCCCACTCAATCATTTGCTTGTTTAACATTTCCACGGATTTTGAGGTCTCTGTCTCATCACTGTCAGGGCAGGCCATGAAGGCCTTTCCTGCCCGGCTGCTAGCCACCTACAAACACATTCAAAACGTTTTTCACCAAAAATGTATTCTTATTCTATGATATTTACAGTAAAGATCCTTTAGTCCCATTCAGTTTAATACTATGCCTAAAATGGGTGGATAATTTGAGAGGGCTCTGCCTGCGGGGCGTCTTGGATAATTTTGCTCTTGAATTTCTCATTGAGAGCACTTATTTTGAAATTACTTCTTCGTTTTTTTTGCATTTGGCTCTCCAAATTATGGTAATTGCAGGAACGTTTCTGCAATTTTCATAAAGCTTCTTAAACACCGTCTTCCTGAGATGCTCAAAAAGACTGGGGAACATGGAATAAAGTTACTTCTTATTCTATATCTGCAAAAAGACACAAAGACACAAACAAGACGTGCCATGTTAATATTCGTGGCCTTTCTAAAGAACCATTGCAGCTGCTTCAACCCTGCTTCAAGTCTTTATGCTATGCCAAGCTAAGTGTCAGTAGGCTTTGGTTTAATACCACAGCAGATATTGAAATCTTTACATGAAAGATTGAAAACATGTAAAAAATATGAATGTCAGATACATTCGTTGTGTAAGTTTAAAGGTTTAACTACAACGAAAGCTGTGCCCTAAAATCTTCTCCCATGCTCACCTGTAAGACTTCGTAGATGGCTTTCCTGTACATGGGCTGCTTGTTGTAAGTTGGTTGGTGAAAGGCATTGTTAAAGGAACTTAAAGGCAATAGTTTCTCTACACAAACCTGTGAAAATACACATAAAAATAAACGATTATTTACACCGTATGTTTAAAGGAATCGTGTTGAGGTAAAAAAAAAAAAACTTTCCGGACATTGAGTTTTCTGTTTATATTCTAAAGGATCATCTGGCTGAGTAAATAAAACCAATAAGCTCATTATAAATTCTGTGGCTGTCACTATAAACAGACGTCTGTTTTGCTTGAAGAAGAAAAAAAAAAGACCTAACAGCAATATTAATGTTGGCTCTAAAGACTCACCACTGAGAATTTTCCATCTCCAAACCACATGACCCATCTGGTTCCCTCAGCAGCTCTGCTACGTCCCGTCATCCACCAGGATACGATGCGGCCTGGCCACCAAGAGAATCCTCGGAGCTTCCCCCAAACCAGCTCGCCGATGCCAAAACCACGACCGTCCTGCAGCCAAAAGAAAAGACAAATCATCCCCTCTGCTATGACTTGTGGGCAGAGTTGTGAAACCTTTTTTCAACAGCCTGTCTAGGGATATTTTTTACTTTTTGGATGGTTAGATCGCTTAGATAAAAAAGTTTATATGAAAATGGTGACCGTAGCAACATCACAAATCACCTTTTTTTTCTGAGAAAGCTAAACTCACTTTCCCATAAAATTAACAATGCCAGGGATTTTTATGTGGGAGAAAACTATGAAAAAAGTACAGCTTATGAAAATAGGTTGAATAATTGCCGAATTAAGTAATTGATTTACACATATCTACTCCAAATAACCGTTAAATTAGTGCATATTTAAAAACCTGTCATTTATTTGAATGCTTCGTTTGCCCTTTAAAGTTTGCAGATGTCACAATCAGAATTCTTAACAATCCCAGAAGAAATTATGTAAATATCTGAAATGAATACATTCCCAGAACGTGACCGGCTACCTTGCATGATAAAGATGAACCCTCACCGTCAACTGGATCCTTTATCCAGTACAGACTAGCTTACAACCAGACATGAGTCAGTGGGAAACCCAAAATGATCTTACCTCATACTCAGACTCAGTGTCTGGAGTCTTGGGGGATGTCTTGTCTTCTCCTTCGATGGCGACAGGCTCTGGGGTCGTGGCCACAGTGGGGGAAGCTGGGTCAGTAGGCTGTTGCTGCTGTTGCTGCTGCTGAGGTGGCTGCTGATGTTGCAGTTGTTGCTGTTGCTGTGGCAGCACCAGCGGTGATTGCTGTTGATACTGAGGCTGTGACTGAGACTTAGTGTGTGGCTGCGGCTGCAGCTGCTGCTGCGGCTGCTGCTGCTGCTTTGAAGGCTGTGGGTGTTTGATTATTGAGACCTCTTCATTCCGGGTCTCTGTTTCATTATCCTCGTGATCCTTCATCGCGTTCATTGCTGACATTTGTTTGGCCTTTTTCTCTGCCTGAAACAAAGCCAAGTGATAACAGAGATGAGGACATGATGCGTGCAGTCACTGAGTTTAAGTAAGTTTAAGCTAGATATCAAGATATCAGGAATTTACACTATTAGAGGATTTAAAAAAATATAATTTACAAAAAATATGTATAAATGTGACCAAATCAGACATAGCTGTTTGTATATTAATACAAACAGCTGAAGAATAACTGTGAAAAAAGAAGAAAAAGAAGCCACTTGTGATGAAGCTAACCAGTAAGAGCACAAAGCTGCACTTTCTGGATTGGCCATTTGAGGCTGGCTCCAACAGCAACTCAATAACCATACCCTCCCATGTTAAAACATGGTTTTGGTATTTATAGAAAAATTACTGCCCTCACACCAGCTGTGCAGGATCTGATTTGTTAACACCTCCGTTTTAAATATTATTAAGCCTTAAAATTACAGGTGGACGGAGCTGTAACAGCTAGCTATGTTCCAGACTTCATCTGCATCTCTCATTTTGTGTCTTTTCATGCAACTGTGTAGGGGTGGGCGGTATAAACGGTATAGGTAGGAACGATATAAATTTGGCCAGCAGTAGATTTTTACTATACCGCTCTACCGCAATAGCACATGTTGATGGTGTCATTATCAAGCTGCGCTTGGTTGCAGCGGCTGCAAACAACATCATCTAACATTGGGTAGGATGTTTTTTCAGGTAGGATGGATTCCCAGAACACCGGGCGACAGTAATAGCAAAGAGACAAAGCACTTCTGGAATATGAGGAAAGTCAAAAACTGCGCTTCCTCCACTTCCCTAACATTGATTCATTAATGCCGAATTCCCTCGCAGCTGCTCTATTCCCATGCTGTTGCTGTATATTAATGACTAACCTCGTATTGTGGATGGATTATCTTAGTTGTTCTCCTGACTGAAGTTTGGTCCGTTTATAGCATCCCGCTATGCAATTGCATTTGTCCCTAACCAGCAGAACCCTCATGTTAACTTTTATCGAGTGGAAAAAAGTTAACGTTCATCCTTCAGCTTCACTGTGCTAATGTTATGCTAACATAGCTGTTTTGCTAGCAATCACGTAGCACATCATTATATACCAGCTAGTCCAACTTCAGTAACCCTACAAACGTCACTGCTTAGTTTTCTGTCTTCATTTATGTTGGAAGTGATAGCAGAGCTGTACGTTTGAATTTCTTCAGATATCTCTCAGTCAGAACATGGCATGTCATGTTTAGGTGGAAACCAGCGAGCTAACTTCCTGCTAACTTCTAACTCCGTTGAATTTAATAAATTCTGTTTTCATGGATGCCTGGATGTTAAACTTAATTGTTACAACTGGTAAAGCAGCAACGCTGATCATTTTATTAAAGATGAAATAATTTAGACAGTTTTTAACTGTCAGTAATGCCGCAGTGTTCCTTTGACTTTGGGACCTGAAGAAGATGGAGTTTTGGACCCAGATTACCAGGCTCCTGACTACGGTAGCCGTAATGCTCCGAGGCGGTGTGGCTTCATAGCTTACCAAAGTCGTACTAAAACATTTTTGACAGATTTTTGAGCGCCGTGTACCACATAAAATCGGTTCGAGGTCAGTAAGCACAACCAGAATTCATACATAAGGCACACTGTCGATTTTTGAGAAAATTGAAGGATTTTAAGTGTGCCTTATACTTTGTAAAATACGTTATACAGAAGAAAAGAATATATCGCAATATATATCGTTACCGCACATGCTTCAAATTATACCATGATATGGATTTTAGGCCATATCTCCCAGCCCCACAACTGTGTGACAAATACTGACTTGCTGTGCAAATAATTGTACCTTTTCAAAAATTCTGAGCACCAGTTTTAGTGAGTGATACTTTGTTTATATGTTACTTGTGGCGAATTAGCAGCTGTCTTTTTCAGCATGGTAGCACTTAGAGCTGGGCGATAGAACGATAACGATATGTATCGCGATATAACTTTTACTCGATAGAGAAATTAAGCTATCGCGATAGACCTCGCCGCTCTTGTCCTCAAAAAAAAAAAAAAAAAAAAAAAAAAAAAAGGTCAGCCAATCCAAATTAAGTAGCGCAGAGCCGAACCAATCACAGCCGCAGCGTCACGTCGCGTGACTTGTTACGTACAGCACAAGTGCCAAGCCGCACGTGTGTTTGTTTGGGAAGCAGCCAGCGGGTAATGGAGCCAGCGCGTAATGGAGGAAATGAGTGTGCCGACTAGAAAAATCAACCGAGCGTGACCGAAGAGAAAACAGATGATGGTTCCAACGCCGGAGAGATTGTCGAACGGAAGAGCCATAGAAGTTCCGTAGTGTGAAGGTATTTCGGCTATTTCAAGTCTGACAAAAAACAGAGTAGCGTGCACTGTAAATTGTGCCGAAAGCAAGTCTGGAAATACAATAAACTGGTGCATGCGTCACACTGCGCGCCACGTTATTGTTTCGGTGAAATGAATTTCTACAATACTGTTACTGTTAATTCTACTCTCTGCAGTGTTTAAATGCTTACATATACACACAGTTACTGTCCCTCCACACATACGGCTCGGTTCTGCTTCTATGCCCCAGCTTTGTTTACTTTTTCCCACCGAGGCTTCTAGACTTCTGATTGGCCAACATTTCTGCACGGTTAGGAATCTAGCGCCACCTGCTGCTTTGGCATGTTCATAGCAGCGTTTTCCTTCATTTCTGCCTTTATGTGTGGACGGGATTATTTTTTAAAACGAAAACGGAAAATCTCCGTTTTCAAAAATACCCGTGTACGTGTGGACGTAGCCTCAGTCTCTGACTGGAAGCGCTAATTCGTCATTCGGCTTTTGTCAGACTAAAGTAACTGTTAAAACTGTTTGAAAAGCTCAGCTATACAACAAGGAGAGATTGAGAATTTCCTTTTAGTTCTCAGTTTATTTGATATTGACAAAAGTTAGTCAGTTTTGTCTGTTCTTCTGTAAAACAAACTAAGATTTATTTTTAGAATTAATATTTTGTTTCTAAGTGGAATTGACAATTTAGTCTGTTTCGTTTGTTCTATTTTGAAACTTAAACGCTTTAGCGGCTGCCTTTTGTGTAGTTTGCAATATTTGCCTTTATTTATCTGAAAAAGTCTCATGTTCCTTAAGTACATCTACCCTGTTGAACTTATTATGGGAAATAAATATTTAAATAAAAACAAGCTGCTGATTATTTCACATTTTACTTGTGAGCAACGGCACATTTAAATCTTACAAATATAGTTATTTGGCTTATATCGTGATAGATATCGTTATCGCCTGAAATGAAAAAAACATATCGTGATATGAAAAAATCTCATATCGCCCAGCTCTAGTAGCACTAGCTAATAACTTAACTAATACCCCACCAACTTGTCAAGATATGTAATGAAGCACAGGAAACCCAGGTACTTGCAAAAAAAAAAAATCAGCCAAGCAATGATGAAACATCAAGATTTCAAATATTTGCTGTCTTAACTTCATTTACTACAATATTTCTCAAAACGCTGTGAAAAATCTAGCTTATTTGAACCAAATCCTCATATAACATACCTCTTGACTATCAGAGCAGAAACCCCCACGCTTTGCAGCTAAACATGGGTGTGCGACCCTTTAGCCTGATAACACTGTGTGGTTTGTGTTTGATGGACAACCTACTGAAGTGTTAAACTGAAGCTTAATCATTTACCAACGTCCTTTAAGTGAGTATTTATCAATTTGCAACATTCTTAAACCACAAAAATAGGCACAGTTTGACATTTTCAAGTTAAAAAATTAATTGAAAATAAACAAAGGTAGATAAATGATGTGTAACCTGTGCCTCACTTCTAGGCTGAGCTACTGTAATTCGTTATAATCAGGTTGCTTTAAAAACTCCTTGAAGAGCCTTCAGTTGATCCTGAACGCTGCAAGGGATGGATCAGGTGACACTGAACCCTTCTTTAGTAATGCTGCAACAGGCTTAGGCTGCTAGGGGGGGCTTCCTGTTGCTCATTCAGTCTGTTTTCACTACCTCTGTTAATACATCACTAAATCACATTTAATCTTTATTAATTATTAAATATCTCTCCCATCGTGAATCTTTTGTCCTGTCTTCCTCCTGTCATGCCCAACCGGTCACAGCAGATGGCTGCCCCTTCCTGATCCTGCTTGTGGTAAAGGTTTCCTCATGTTAGAAGAGTGTATTTCCTTCCTACCGTCACAAAGTGCTTGCTTATAGGGGGTGGTGTGATGTTTCTTTTTGTTTTTTGTTGGGGTTTTTTTTGGGGGGGGGGTCTTACTAACCTCAAGGAAATATAGACGCAATATATCAAAGAAGTAAAAAAAAATTAAAAAAAAAATGTAAAACTGCCAACAACTTCTATGGACACAGTTTTTTACTCACAAGGGTAACAATTTGTTACGCAGCCCAGTCTTCCATAAATCTGGTCATGCATGAAATGCTTCCCTCAGATATAGATATAGCTGTACAGAGGCTGACGGATTTGAAGCTATTTAGCTATAGAACATAAGAGGCACACCTCATTTCTGCTGTGTAAATGCAGAATGGTAGCCTTTGCAAACGCGTCTTTATCTCTGCGTATGAGACCTATTCATCAGCAGCACTGAATACAATAACTCTATAGTGTACAGACCTGCAGTGTATCGTTCACTTGGTTTGTGGTACCTGACACTGAACCGCTAGGTCGATCAGAGAGGACGAGACACAGCCGGGACTTAAGCCTCTCACAGCAAATCCCCAACAGCTGCACTCATTCTGATGTCTCTCTCTCTCTCTCTCTCTCTCTCTCTCTCTCTCTCTCTCTCTCTCAAACACACACCCAGTAGGACTGTACTGCGAACACGTGCTAACTTTCTTCTTCCTTTCTTTCTTTTCCTTTGTCACACACAGAATATATGCAGTACCATATGTAAACACGTGCTGGTCATACTATAGGCTCCACGTGAGAGCAGTGCTGCACAGCTGTGCTTACTTTTGCTCAAGTGTTTCTCAGGTTCTCATATCTCACTCAGAG